TCTCATCTCTTATCTATACAGATTTGAAAAAATAAAATAAAATAGAAATCAATTCATAATTACTACTAGAAATCCATTATCTTTAAAAAGAAAAAATAAAATAAAATAGAAACTAATTCATAATTACTACTAGAAATCCATTATCTACTTTAAGAAACTAATTTTCATCGGTCTAATTACTAATATTTTTACAAATATTCTAAGCTAACCATACAAAAAAGTATAATAATAATTTTGAAATGGTGTGTAATCAAATTTTTTTATATTCTCTTATACAAAATCATTTTACATTGTTTGACCCCGAATCTTTAATTTATAATTATTAAGTATTGTTTATCATCCTCTTTTATTTATAATTATTTTTTTTTCTTCCTCTTTTTAAATACGATCAATAGTAGTTTTCACTTCCGTCATTGACTCAAACTCGAGGTCTATTTATAATATTGTTACTTTAATATTGTTCTCGTGCATCGCACGGGGTACACACTAGTTGTCACATAAAGGTAGAAACATATTTAAGATTACGAATAGATATAAAACAAAAATATAACGATTAGATTTAATACAATTAAAAAAAATAAATATTAATTGATAATAATTATATATGTAACATAAAAGCAACTGAAAGAAGATTATGAAGACAAATATAAGGCATGCTTGTTTATAAATATTATTGGTTTGGATTGATTTTTTTGGTTAACCATAGTTTGAAAAGGTTGATTGGATTAAGTTTGGATGGGATTTTTACTTTTTATTAAAATTATATTTAAAATAAAATGATTAAAATGGATTTGATATAAAAGTATGAGAGATGTGATTGGAAGTGATAAATAATTAAAATTATATGAGTTGATGAATTTGTGTATATATAATTGTTGGCAGAGAAATTAATAAGAATATTTTTGGTTTCCCGCCAAAATATGTTACAAATTTTTATCATTAATCCGATTTTTTTTCCTTTTATTTTATTCAACTTCATTTATTAATGTTTCTCGCCAGTTTTTAGCTACTTATGGTAGAAAACTGTTACAATTATTTAATTATATATTTTTTACTGTTATATTATATAATAGTTAATATTAATACCAACTAATAATAATTTACACTAAATGTTATATTGAAATTACTTAAGTATAAAAAAGTTACATTGCAAATGCTTTTATTCAAGCTTTTTATTCTAATTCCAATATTATCCTTTTTTCCTTTAATTATTATTTTGTATCTCAAGAAATTATTTTCTATAAAAAAGATTAGCTAATAGTTTAATAACATAGTCAAACCACCTTAAAATCTTATAAATAAATAATTAATAATAATAATAATTTTTCAACTAAATTAATTGTCTATGATCTCTCAAAATTAAAAATACATTATCCTCGATCTTTTTTCAATCAATACGATATTAATTCATCTTTTATTCATAATTAACTGAAAAACACAAATGAGGAGGAGTACTCCTAAACCCTACTCCTAACTTGTCCAACAAGACAAGATCTCTTACTAAATATTCTAATACAAAAAATAAGAATAATAAATATACTCTTACCAATTAAATACTAAACATAAAAAGAATAATAATAAAGGTAAATAAAAATAAATACATATCACAAACAAGCAGACAATATCAGAAGCAATTTTGGAGGAGGATCTGGAAACTCAAATTAAAAAAGAAAATATGTCACTTCATTTGGAGATGCTGTCATGGAGCCATAACAATAAGTGAGCAGCTAGAAAGAAAGGGTATTTTGATTGATAAAATCTGCCATTGCTGAGGGAATGGGTTAGAGAATCTAGAACATATCCTCTTTAGTTGTGAAAAAAGGCAAAACTGGTGTGGATGAATACAATCTGTGAGATGAAGAAGAAGTGTAGAGAGGAATGAATTCAGTTATTAGTGAATATTTTGGAGGGAATTTGGAAGGCTAGAAATAAATGGGTGATGAGAAAAGAGTGGATGAAGCCTGATCAAACTATGAAGGGAGCTTGGGCTGAGTGGCTTGAACTTAAAGACCTAGAAGATGAAGAGGCCACCAAAGATAGGATAATAGAAAGTGCAACAGTGGCAAGATTGTGTCAGTGGCAAGAAAGTGCAATAGAGGTATGGTGGATGTTAATATCTGTCAGTGCCAAAACCAAAGGTGAGGTTTCAGTTGGATTGAGAAGAATTGCTTGGAATTCAGAAGGAGAGAAATTGAGGGCTTAGTGCTCATTCAGAGACCCTGCAGCAGGTTTAGTTGAAGATTTTCTATTATCTGTCAAATTGGCTTTCATTAATGCAGTGCACCAAGGATGGAAGCAAGCGATCATTCAAATAGATAACCAAGCTATTGCACAGAAGATCAGTCAGGAGCCAAAATATAATAGCTAAAGATATCTTATGTTTTCAATTTGTTTGATGTCTATATTTTTAGAACTGATTTTAAGTTTGTTAGTTTCAATTAGTGTTCGACTTTTTGATTTTGCCTTTCTTTATTTGGATTTCTCCACTTCCTATCTGGATCTAGTTAATCCTTATAGCTTGTAATGTCAGATGACATGCCCGTTGTACTCTTCTGGAGTTAAATATATTGCCATTGTTGGGGAAAAAAAACGTGCTATACTCAATTTACTCATGCAAAAATTGAAACAGAGATATGTTCGTGACAATTTGCTCATTCACAAACATATTATGCTCAATTTATTCATTCAAAAATTGTATTTTGTTTTAGAAAGAGATGTTCACAGACACAATTTGTTCATTCATGAACATGTTAAAGATCGATATATTACTTCAAATTTATTTATTTATTTTTTGAAAAAAAACAGAGACTCACAAACATCCTTGATTCAATTCATTTAAAATCTGTTTAACTATTGCAACTCAACTCATTTAAATTAGCAAACTAGCCAATGTCAAGCTTCATAAGCCAAAACAAATTTAGTTTGAAAACTTCTTGTTTTTAAAACAACACCAAACGAACACATTCAATAAATATTACACACCCATCAAATCTAAAGCCTAAAACTCTTGTGATGCCGACCCAATCTCCTTGTCCCCCTTCCCACCAGCTTTCTTGGGCAACAAAGTTTGGTGAATGTTTGGCAACACACCACCATTAGCAATGGTCACGCTGCCCAGCAGCTTGCTCAACTCCTCATCATTCCTAACTGCTAACTGTATATGCCTTGGCACAATCCTGTTTTTCTTGTTGTCTCTTGCTGCATTCCCAGCAAGCTCCAATACCTGTGCAAAATTCAACAAAAAATTCGATGAATTGAACTGAATACAAAAAGAAAATCACAGATAATTTCATAAACCCAACAAACAAGTGAAAAGGAAGTATCTTTATCGCTTTTCCTATCCATTAATTCACTATTTAATCTCACAATCAAATCTCAGAGCATAAATTATATATCAAAAATTAGAAATTTTGAAAAATGCAATCAACAGAATAATGACAACGTCAATCTCTTTTCCTTCCTTGGAAACAAATCAAATCCCACATCAACAGCGATGGTACAGATAAACTGTTAATGTAAAACAATTCTATCAAACAGAATCATATTACAAAAATAAG